TAATTTTGTTGCAAATACAACACCTGAAATAAGAAAAGAAATTTTTTTATTATCAAAAAGTAATAATAGTTTACCTGAAAATAAATTATCATGTAAGAATTTTTTTAATTATTATTATAAACTATTTTTAATTTTTTTTAATTTTTATTATAAAGTATTTTTAATTTTTTTATATAGTTGATACTTCTTACGATACATTATCTACATCTTCAAAATCATCATCTAATTTTTTACAAAAAACTGTTACACGATCAACATCATATGGTCCACTTGATAATTACATTGTTAGACCATTATCAAAAAAAGATACACAAAATTTTTATATACTATTAATTCGATTAACAGTTTCTTGTGGATGGTCTTTAAACTGGGTTAACAAACCTGAAGCAAAGGAGCTATTTAAGTTTCTTAATCCTTCTCTTATTCTTCCTGATCGTCGAATTCTTGGTGGACGAATTTTAAAGGATGCAGTTTCTGAAAATGATAAAATAATGCAAGAAGCACTTTCTGAAGATCCAATAGGAGTGACTCTTACATTTGATGGATGGACTAATGTAAAGAATGAGCAGTTATTAGGTATTGTTATTATTACATCTGAAGGAAGACCATATATATGGAAAGCAATAGATATTAGTTTAGAAAGAGAATCACATATTGAAGTAATAAAAAAAACAGAAACCATGATTTTGGAATTAAAAAATAAAGAAATTAATGTTTGTGCTATTGTAACCGATAGTGCTGGTGCATATGCAGCAGCTAGGTAAATATTTAATTTTAAAATATTGCAAATTTTTTTATTATTTAATAATATAAATTTATTTATAAAATTTTAGACGACGATTAAGGATTTCAAATAGAGAAATTGTTTTTTTACCCTGTTTTGCGCATCAAATTAATCTATGTGTAGGTGAAATATTTAAAGAATCAACTGAATTAAAGTCATCATTAGATTGTGCAATTCGGCTTGCAACATACTTTAGAAATCCAAACCATAAATTTTTTATTGCAAAATTACAAGAACTGCAAAAAAATATTTATGGTGGTAAACATTATGCAATAATAGCTCCAGGAGAAACCCGATGGAACAGTTATTATGAAGTATGTACACGTCTTTTAAAAATACAAAAAGCTTTACAGGTAAATTATATAATATAATTAATTTTATTTTTTATTAATTGTAAATAATTTTATTTATTAGTTTTTTTATTTTAGTTGCTTGCTATTACATATGAACCACCTTTTATTCAAACTCAACGTCAAAAAAAAGAAAATCCAACTATTACACGTAACATTTTTGAAATTATTGATTCTAATACATTTTGGAATAATATAAATATAATTGTAAAAATGTTATATCCTTATTGTAAAATATTAAATATTTTACAACAAGATAAAAGCCGTTTATTTCAAGTAATTCATAGTCTCGCATATCTTGTTCAATTTTGGAATAATTATACTACTATCAATCCACAACTTTCTGCACGATTATTAATTAGATTAGAAAAAAGATGGAATGATTGGGAGCAGTCACTTCTCTTATTATCATGCTTATTACACCCTGAATATCGAATGAAACGATTTAAAGATGGTATAAGAATTAATTATGCAACTTTTGGAAAATGGCTAATCTATTATTATCAAGCATGGTTTGGAAAAGAACCAATCTGTATTTTACGTGAATTTGATGATTTTC